CCTCTTCACAGGGAGGGCAAGCACTTCGAGTAGCAAAGCATTCAGAATTCCTCCCTCCCGTCCCTTGTCATGCTGTCACCTGTGTCCATCGCACACCCACAACAACCAAATACATTGTTATTCTGTGAACAAACGATTATCTATTACATCAATTAAGAAGAGTTTTCCTTTACCTTCACTTATTCCTTCTCTGATGCTCTTCCTTTCTCTACGTGGATCTGGCTTTCTGATCTGTATCATTTTCCTTTTCCCTGAAGAACATTTAACAGTTCTTGCAAGGTAGGTCTATCAGGGACAAATTCCCTCCTTTTTTTTTCTTTGTCTGAGAAAATTTTTATTTCTCCTCCACTTTTGAAGGAGAGTTTTGCAGGATACAGAATTCTAGTTTGGTGGGTTTATTCTCTACGCTCTTCTTGCCTGCATGGTTTCTGAAGGGAAGTCAGGTATAATTTTTACCTCTGTCCCTCTATAGCTAAGATGTTTTTCTCTGACAGATCTAGAAAGAATTGGTTTTCATTGTGTTCATCTTTTTACTTATTGGGACAGAATGGCAACTTCAAAACACCTTGATGACAGAAGTCCTATACCTGTTTTTAAAATGGCAAACAATACATTAATTAGCTAAACATAAAATCAAAGTTGCCCAACAAATATAACCAACTAAAAGCTTGGTGTGTATTCTTCAGAATCTTCTTCTACGCTTATAGAAACACACACACACGTACTTTTACAAATGATATTTTAATAAAAAATAGGATCCCATATGCACTGCTTTAGCACTGGATATCATGGACATCTTTAGTACAGAACGGTTATGGGTTAATATTCTCTCTTTTTTTTTGTCCCATAACATTCCTTTATTTGGATTTGCCTGAATTTAATCAATCCCTTACTGAAAGGTACTAAAATAATTTCAAGAAGACAACTTTGCCATTACAAAAAATACCACACTGAGTATCACTTTACATATAATTTTGTCTACTTGTGCACTTCCATAAATTCCTGTAAGTAGAACCACTGAGTCTACAGTTACATACCTTTTAACTTTTAATACATATCACTGAACTGCTTTCCAAATGATTATTCAACTTACATACCCAAATCATTGTTTAGAGCTAGTATTTCTCAATACTATCTGTGGACACTTTCATTTAAATCTTTGCCAATCTGATAGTAAATAAGGGATGTCTTACTGTGTGTGTGTGTGTGGTTTTTACAAACAAGAATAAATATTTTTCATTGTATTGACCATTTCTTCTTTAGGAACTACACAGTTTTTACTAAACCAACAGGAGAGATCTGTTTTTAAGAAGGGAAAGTAGAAAATAATAAACTATGGAAATCTTCAATCCTAGGTATTATTGTCCAAGTTATATGGCCCACAAGGAAGGTTCTACTTTACTTCACATTCACCTGGCGAACACATCATTTGCTTGGAATCTAATTCTACGAGACTTGTGTCATTTGGTGGGAGTAAGCTGGTGAGTGTACACCTCCCATGTCCTAGTTGATGAACACAGCACCAGCACTATTCAGGCATGACGTTGGTATGCAGAACCATTATACCCAGACTAGCTAGAAACTTATTAAAGTCCTGTGCCCAGATCTCAGTGCAGCAACCAAAGAGGGAGCTGGAGAGCTTGGAAGGGGTTCAAAGGAGAGCCACAGCATTGATTAAAGGCCTTGAAAAACAAGAACCGTGAGGGAAGGTTGAAAGAACTGTGATTACTCAGGCCTGAAAACAAGCAAAGGCTGGAGGGTAAATTAACAATGGAATTCCAATAAATAAAACTTTTATATGGCAGATGGTGTTTGGTTATTTTCTAAATGAGCTGAGAGCAGAGGAACAGAATCTGTATTTTAGGATCAGAAATTCAAGTCCTATGAAAAGAAAATTTTCCTTAATCAAATATTTCAGTGCTTAAAGAATTTACCTCATAGTAAATTTGATGCTCAGGGTCATGAGAGTATTAATGAGTATCACAGAGGAAGACTACTGAGTACGGCCAGGGGAGACAGGCAGTGAGAGATGGAGAATGAAGCAGGGCCTCCTCTTAAAGAGGGGGTGTGGGGAGAGGCAGGAGTCGGGGGACACAACAAGGGAAACACAGAGTAGAGCTGTTTTAAGAATGCTTCTTCCTTTTTACTCTTTGTACAGCGGATCCACTTAGAGATTCGAGTTGGACAACATGACCTTGATGCAGCCGTTGCTCAAGCAAAGGACAAAGTTAATGAAGTTAGCTTTAAGTTGGAACACCTAATTGAGCAAATTGAGCAAATAGTCAAAGAACAAAACTATCAAAGGGTCAGTTTGCCTGTTTTATCTATTATCTATTTCAGCTTATTTTATCTCTTCCTGCCAGGAACGCAATTCTGGAGACAAAGCCCCCAAACCATGGAAAAAAATAAACTCCCGTTCCTTGGTCTTTCTCTCTGAGCCAGCACTGTAGGGACACTTGGGGTAAAGGAAAGGAACAATCTTTCATTGTCTTTTCACTCTCTGCCAGACTGTGAGCTCCTCTAGGAAAGGGGACTGCAGCTCATTTGCCTTTGGGGTATGGGCTTCACAGAATGAATAAATAAATGTTCCCAAACACACCCAATATGTATGAAGAGGCTCAGAACGCCCATTTTCTAGATCACAGTTTTATTCTTGTGACACTGTGTGTCTCTCAGGTCCCTGTGCTCAGTGGACTCTGGTCAGAGATGGGATCAAATCCAGACTCCAGTTCCCTTACCTGGAAAATAAGAGGAGGACGGGTGTGCTTGGCAAAGTGCCCAGCCTGAAGTAAAGTTAAGGACAGCAATTTTGAAAATCTATCACTCTTGGCTAACATTCACTTGCTCAATGGTGACAAAAAAAATATACACTATAATAGATCAAACAGCAGATAGTTTACATCAAAATACAAATACATGTTTTATTTAAAGTTGATTCTTAATCCTTTTCTTTAGCTACGAACATACACCAACTTAGAAAATCATATACTGCACTTTGATATATAAACTGGGAAATACTAAATATCTTCAAAGCATACAGCACGTTTCCCTCAAATTCATAGTTAAATACTTTAAGAAACTAAACCTGCCTATTTCTCTTCCGCATAGGACCGTGAAGAAAATTTTCGAATGATCAGTGAAGATACAAATGGCAATGTTTTATGGTGGGCTTTTGCACAAACATTAATCTTTATCTCAATTGGAATTTTCCAAATGAAATACCTTAAAGACTTCTTTATAGCTAAGAAACTCGTTTAAAATGTTAATAAAGGCAACTACCTGCTAATCTGCATAATATTTGAGTTAATCAATCAAAATACATCGTAACCATGTAATTTTATGATATCAAAGATGATCAGAGATTGAAATTAATATTACACTGACAAAATATTACTTTAACTATGTGGCCTTTGAGCTTGATAGAATAAGCTCATCATCTGGTTATTTTAACTCTGTATATAGATCAGCACTGTCCCATACAAATAAAATGTAAGCTACATATATAAGTTTTAAATTTTCTGCTTGCCACATTAAAAAAAAAAAAACCTTCTTTCAGAAGGGTAAAATTAACCCTAGTGATATATATATATATATAACCCAAAACACCAAAAATGTTACAATTTTAGTAGTAAACAGTACAAGATTATTGAGATAGTTCATGGTTCTTTTTTTGATATGAACAAGCGTGTGCTGTGCTCAAAGCACAGGTCAGTTTGGCCCAGTCACATTTCAGGGACCCAGTGGTCATGCAACATTCACAGCTAGACGGTGGACAAAGGGAGTACACCCTTTCCCACCACTGCATTCCCCTCCCGAAAAGCCATTCTGAACCTCTGCTTTCTCTACTTCCCTGCACAAGGGCGCCCTTGCCCACACAAGAAAACAGCCTGGGTTTCTCTGAACCACCTTTTCTCACTTGGCCCCAGTGGGCCACCTGCATGTGGATGGAAATTCTGCTCCCCAAGCCACAGAGGGCACCATCCATGGAGTGCCCTGTGAAACGTCACGGCCATCTGCTTTCTCTAGCCGTCCACTCTGCAATAAGAATAAGCTCACTGGAGGTGGCAAGAGCAGCACCAGGAGTCCCTTTCCTCAACACCACCTGGCCAATGTCTCCAACAGGGAACGCCCCCCTCCCCATACCCAGGGTCCAGCCTTTCATGCACGTGGCAGGTCCCCAACCTCCACCCGGCCAGTGCCTCAGACAGGGAGTCCCCAACCCCACCCCGGGTCCAGCCCTTCACACGTGGCAGGCCCTCTATCTCCACCCGGCCAGTGTCCTGGACACAGAACCCCACCCCCACCCCGAGTTCAGCCCTTCTCATGTGGCAGAGCTATAGTGGCTGCGGCCCTGACCCGGCCCGCCTCTACCAAAAGCTGCAAATGGCAAACCGTCCTGCCCAGCCCAGTCCACCCACCTACCCCGCTGGGTCTGCTCTGTCCTCCCGGCTCCCTCACCTCAGTCTGCCCAGGACCCCTGGCTTCTCGGGTCAGCCCAGTGTCCAGGCCCTGCTCCCCATCTCCATTACGGAGGGTGCCTAGGGCCCACACTGTCCCCCAGCGGTCACGTCCGTGCCCCCACGCCCTCCACTTCGTCTGACTCCTGCGCAGCTCACCGCGGCTTCCGGAGGCACAGAGAGCGCCACCCCGCTCTGCGCCTGGGCCTTCCCGGCGTGCCCATGTCAGTCTGGACGACGACACGCTGCCCACAGACGAGTCCCCAAGGGTTGCAATGATGGAATGAGGGAGACCCGGCTCTGGTGTGCGTGTCGCTCCTCGGCACAAGCAGCCTAAACAGCCTGAACAGCCTGAGGGGAGAAGAATCTTATTCACAGCACACACACCCCCCGCCCCATCCAGTTGGTACCTTCCAACTCAGGTTTTGGCGGGAGTGGCGGTGCTCTCTGGTGCGCAGGCGCGGCTGACCAGCTCCAGTCTGCGCAGGTGCAGAAGCTCCAGAGGCTGCTTCCGGGCTGCGCCTGCGCTGCGTCTGGGCCTGGGTTGCGGCGGCTGGTGGAAGCAGCGTCCGGCATGGCCAGCTGGGTGTTCTGTAATCGCTGCTTCCAGCCACCGCACCGCACGTCGTGCTTCAGCCTGACCAACTGCGGCCACGTGTACTGCGACGTCTGCCTGGGTGAAGGTGAGGGCTGGCTGGGCTGGGCAGGGGCGCCCGGCGGGGCCTGCGTCCACCCACCTCGGGCGCAGGGACGGAGCCATAGCTGGCGAGGGCCCGCAGGGGCTGGCAGAGTGCCGTGGTCATCTTAGCGCCAGGGATGTGGCACGCGCTGAACTTTTGGAAGGCAGTGTGAACCTAGACCCTGGGACGAGGATGCTCGGAAGGACCAGGGCAGGGCCCAGGGGGCGCGTCCTCACCTGGCCTCACGCGAGGGTGCAGCGGGGTGGTAGGGTCCCTAGGGAAGAAGGAAGTGTGGACAGGTCCATGGAGCTCGGGGGGCTGTAGGAGAGCTGGGAGCCAGGTAGGCCAAAACATGCCTGCAGGGGGCCCTGGCCAGGAGGGGACCATTGTTTGAAGCAGGAGACCTGATCACGGATATATTTTTCTTTTTATGAGATGTTCTCTTTGAAGTATAAAAAAGAAAAAGTGCGTGAATGCAAAGCACAGTGAGTTTTCCCGGAGTGAATTTACCTGTGAAACCAGCTCCCAGAATACAGCAGTAGCCTCCTCAGAGGTCACCACTGTCCTGATGTTCATCACTGTAGCTCACCTGACTGATCTGAACACTCAGCAGGAGGATCTTTGTGCTGTAGGAGCTCCTTCTGTGTCCAGGGATGACGCTCTGGGGCCCACACTGGACACTGAGGTTCTTTGAGAGCATCCAAGGGGAGACACTGGGGAGGCAGCTGAGTATACAGGTCTGGGAGTCAAGACAGGAATAGGTTGGGGAATTGGCATATAGATAATAATCGAAGGTCCTGGGTGAGGGGAGGGCGAAGGTTAGGGCATGGCTTCACCTGGGAAGAGCATTTCTTAAGATAGGCCAAGGTAGGAGGAGGCTGTGGGGAAAAGAAAGCAGAGCTTATGGACTTGGCATCCCAGGGCAGAGTCAGAATTGGAACCTCCCACAGGAGTTAGTGGCATGGGTTAGCTTGGGTGAGAACAATGCAGACAGACCTGTGTTCACGGTTTTGCAGACTGGTTCCGGACCTTGGGCAGGCGATTCCCACGCACCTCTGGCTCTTGAAGCACGTTCCAGTAGCCCAAGTTCGTTCCTCCAAAAAGCCACTGATGCTGGGACACACAAAAAGCAGTAGAAGGGCTTGAGGGCTCTGGGTGGAGCACTGACCACAGCTCGTTAGGTGTTTAACGATCGTTACTCAGAGATAAGCCCTCCCTACACTTTGGTATACATTCTTGCAGATTTTCTCCTACAGATAAAGATCTCTACAACAAAAATGGGACTGTGTATATACCAGTTAGTTACCTGAGTTTAATAGGCCATGGCCCTCCTTTCACGGTAAAGTAAGTCTGTGTCATCAGTTTTAAGGCTGCATTTAGTTGCCATACCATGATGTCTTTAACGGATTCACTCCTAAGAGCTCTGCATGTTTTCTAGTATTTTGCTGTGAAACACCACTCATTCACTTGTGTGTTGTTTTCCTTTGGGATATCCAGAAGGGCGGAGGTGCTGCTGTGGGGCATTTTTGATAGAACCAGCACTTAGGACCAGGCACCCCAGAAAGCTGGCTGCTCCCAGCATGGATGACTGGCATTTTTGTCTCATACATTAGCAGCAGTCTGCGCTTTTGCCAACTACTCATTTGGGCCCCTTCACACCTTTTACTGGAGTGCTTATGTTTGATAGGTTTGTAAGCACTGTTTGTGTCAGTTTGCCTGCCCGTCAGCTGCGGACGGATCCTCTCTTTGTCAAGTCTCTTACTTCCCTCCCTCAACGCAACCCGTGGATTTTTGGGAGCCAGCTCTGTTCATCTCTGACTCCGTGGCTTCTGGCAGTAGCAGTGCTCCAAGGGATCTCCTGGCTCCGTAATCCCCAGAGAGACGCAGATGGCAGGAACACACTGCTGAGGGTGGGTGCTTTCAGAAGAGGGCCACTTGAACGTGTTTGTAGGACTGGAGACGAGGGGACAACTCCAGAGGCTGTTGGGAGGGAACAGGTCTTTCTACACAAGGACCCCATTGCACGTGCTGTAGGGATGAGATGAGATGAGACAGAGGAAGAGAGCAGAGGGAGTTGAGTTGTTCTGTGGTGAGTGGAGGAGAGGCAGGGAGATTGAGGAAGTTCATGACTCTTTACTCAGTAAAGAGCAAACGGGGGCCTGTTTGAATACCCGCCATAGGGAACTGGCAGGAGAACACCCAAGAAAAATGGAGGGTTGCTCAGCAATGTCGCAGGTTCAACAGTGCTGGAATCAAGTCTGTGAATCCACTTCCCAGTTAAGTGACCTTTTCCCCTGGTTCTTAGCTGTACTGGGCCAGAAGAGGGGGAGACAGGCCGGGGTTCAGGCTGGGTGGCTGCTTGGAAGGACAAGGATTCAGTATTGACTGGCCGGCTCTGGAGTCCAAGCTGGCTTGTGAGAATGGGAAGCTCAGATGTGTGGGGATGGGGCAAAGCCCAGGATGGGGGGCCCTACTGCCCCCCCACTGAAGTTTTCCAATGACACTGGGTGCTCTCGTGCCGCGTGGGGGCAGGTGAGGCAATGCAGGGCTACCCTTAGCAGCCAGCCACATGGAGGAGCAGTTTCTCCAGGGGATGACAGGAGTATCGTGGAGATGAAGGTGGTGCAGTAGGTGGGTCTGGGTCAGAGACCCTGGAGAAGAGCAGGTGGGGAGTTAGCCTGTGCTTTCAGGCCAGGCGCCGCCTTATGGGCCCAGCAGCCCAACAGATACCCCAGAGTGCGCTCCTGGGAACTGACTCGGGTGCTGTCGAGGTGAGGCTGGAGGGGGCGGGCAGGGGTTGGGGGGTGGCTGAACAGAGCTTTTACTTATCTCTTGGATGGCATGCAAGGAGCTATTTTCATTTTGAATAATTAAACATTTTAAATTAAGGTATCACTACAGAGTCTCACTGTAAGAAAATCTGAGATGGAGTTAAGTTTGAGTATTGTTGATCTTCATAATTACTATTTTGGGGCATATTGGCAGAATAGGAAAAATGGATTACTGAATAAATCTTTTCAACTCTGTCCACATGCAGTCTTTTCATTGCCTGAGCGTGGAAAATGTAAGTATTCTAATCCTGTATGTTTTTTAAGAAATAGTGTAATTTGAAGTGTGCACTTATATTCAGAAGCACTACTCACTATAATATACTAAAGTTTGTGTTTCTTTTATAGGTGGCAAAAACGAGTGCTTGATTTGCAAAGTCCCTTGTCGCACAGTTTTCCTTTCAAAACATGTAAGTTGAAATATGTATTATCTAAATATTAATCAGTGTTTTTTTAAATTTGAGATTCAGTTTTCAGTCATTTGGTGGGGTCTAAAATTTTCTTTCATTTTGCTAGATTAATTAGAAGATCTTACAAGATTTCTGAGTAAAGTGCAATTAGGATTTGGTTTTGAATACCTCACACAACTTTCTTAACCATAGATTTTTTTCCTCTGTGAGTTTGCTGTGCTGTGTTCTGGGAAGTGAAGATGAGTTGAATAGGTTTCTTCAGCACAAGACAAGCTCTTTAAGAAGGTGATCGAGGGGGCACCTGGGTGGCTCAGAGTGTTGAGCCTCTGCCTTCGGCTCGGGTCATGATCTCAGGGTCCTGGGATCGAGCCCCGCATCGGGCTCTCTGCTCAGCAGGGAGCCTGCTTCTCCCTCTCTCTCTCTGCCTGCCTTTCTGCCTGCCTCTCTGCCTACTTGTGATCTATCTCTGTCAAATAAATAAATAAAATATAAAAAAAAAAAAAGAAGGTGATCGAGTTTCTCTGGTGATCATAGCTGATTAAGAGGGTTGGAGGAAAGTAAGTTTAGGGGTGCTTACTGTTGCAGTAGGCTTAAAACAAAGTCTGCCTGTTCTCTCTATGAAATACTTCCATTTCACTTGTTTGCTGTAAACTTAGTTACAAATAATTATTCTCTTTATACTTAGGTTCTAAGATACTTATTTGATCTGATGTTTTCATCTGTAACAATCATTTTTTGCTGATTACAAATACGATACAAAGTCACACAAGACTTCAAAGATACAGAAAATCATAATGGAGAAAAATCCTGTCTCCCACAGATGTCCACAAGCAGGAGTATAGTTCCTGCACTGTGTGTTACTGTGACTTCTTTCTACAAAATGGTGTTTTCTCAGTTGACTTGGTATTTTTGGCATACCCGCACTTTGGAAAGACTGCACAGTATTTCGCTGTTTTCCAGGGGAGAAGGTAGTTTTTCTCTATTTCGATCTTACTGTGGATATTTTTTTTTTTACCATATTTCTGTAGCATAAATTCCTAGGAGTGGAAAAATAAGGGCACAGATTTAAGTGTTTAAATAATAGAAAGCACCTTATTTCCCTTAAGAAATGTACCATTTAAACCCTTGGCCACAGAGCACTGCTGGTCGGGCTTGACTCTGAGAGAGGGGCGCCCTGGCATTCCCCTGCCCTCCTGGGCCCAACGCTCTGTTCATTTATTTCTTTTCTTTTCTAGTAAGTGTGTTCAGGGCAGTCTGTTTCCTTTTGTTGTATATCACCTCGTGCATCGCTTTTATCATTTCTAGATAGTCTTTTTTTATTTGACAGACAGAGATCACAAGTAGGCAGAGAGGCAGGCAGAGAGAGAGGAGGAAGCAGGCTCCCTGCTGAGCAGAGAGCCCAATGTCGGGATTGATCCCAGGACCCTAAGATCCCAACCTGAGCTGAAGGCACAGGATTAACCCACTGAGCCACCCAGGCGCCCCTCTAGATAGTCTTTAATCTCTCTTTTAACTTTTTTGACTCGAGAATTATTCAGGAGAGGAGTGCCTAAATGGCTTAGATGGTTGAGCATCTAAGGTGATGATCCTGGGGTCCTGGGATCGAGCCCCGTGTCTAGCTCCCTGCTCAGTGGGGAGCCTGCTTCTCAGTCTGCCACTCCCCCTGCTTGTGCTCTCTCTCTCCCTCTCAAATTAATAAAAATCTTTAAAAAAATTATTCAGGAGAATGTTCCTTAATTTCTAAGAGGTTAGATTTTATCTCCTCTATCATTTTTGGGGAAAGTTTTTAATTTTATGTCTTTATGACCAGAGAACATGGCCATATAGTTAGTTTTCTTCATTGTCAGGATTTTCATTGTGGCTTACTACATGGTAATTGTTAATGTTCTACACATACTTGAAAAAGTATATCTTTTTTGTTCTCTGTGTGTGTGAGAGAGGGAAGTCATTTACGGTCCTGACACTACTCCGCACATCTGCTTTCTATGGGCACTTCCAGCAGTCTCTCCAGGACGCCTCTCCTCTGTTTTCCACGAGTCACGTGAGCACCTTCTGCCATGACACCTAAGAGCCATTCTTCCTGCTTTCCCTCCTGCTTCCTGGAGCCAGAGGGATCTGCAAGCATGGGTCATGTGCCCCAACTTCCCAGGAGTAAAACCCTTGTCTCCTCATGCCTGTGGCTCTGTGGCCCGGCTTGTGGTGGACACCTGGTCCCCTGGCTGGTGACTAACCTGCCACTGCTCCTGGGGCCGGGCTGCTTCCACCTTCTCCCTTCTCCACTGCCTTTAGGTCCCTGCATATGGCTCTGTGTGACCATGACTTCCTTGACCTGTAGCAGGAAGGACACCTGATATCATGGCACAGTGTGTGTGCGCATATGGGAAATAAGTTCTACCAAACAACACATCCTTGCTAAATGCCGTGCCCTGATGGCTCCTGCTCTGACTGGGTTTTTTGTTGTTACAACCAAACACGCTGTAACAGGCGAAGCTGATTTCCTGGGGCCTGCTTCTTCTGCTCCACCCACGGGGCACCATGCGTATTTGCTAGTTTGTCATGGAAAAGGACCATCACTGTCACACACACAGAATAGTACACCACCTTCTCTGTCAGCTGGCACGTGGCGAGGAACAGTGCAGACAGAAGCTGGGCCTGTGGGGATCTGGGAGGCAGGCAGGTGTGTGGGCTGGAGCCTCTGGGGAAAGCAGAGTGCAGAGCAGAAGGATGTGTGGACAAGAAGGGGGTTGCCATTAGACTGCAGTTCACTGGTTCTCCAGCAGAGATGGAGAGGGATGGCTGCCGCAGGGAGGCCTGGGCCCCAGAGAAGCCAGTGATGTCCGGGCAGGAGGGGCGGTGCTGCAGGCAGGCCTGGGCCCTGGAGAAGCCAGTGGTGTCTGGGACCTGGAAGCCACGAGTGCTCAAGGCATTCATCCTCATGCCCGCTTCACTTACAACCCTGGGGAACCAGAGGACGAGGAAGAACCCCCAGTGGGCAGAACTGGGGACTGGAGCTGGCTAGACTAGAGGTTCCCCTAAGCAGCAGAGGCCTGTCTGATGAAGATGAAGATGGCAGGAGGCCCAGGACACCCACCCACAGGATCTCCATGACTGCTATGTTCCTTGTCTTCCACCGACCTTTGAGGGGTAGATTCTGTTGTCCTGCCCTAGGCCCCAGGCCCAAGGTTGCTTACGGTGGGGATGGGCCTACTCCCTAGGCTGCAGCCCAGATAAGAACCTAGAGGACAGGACCACTTGCCAGCGAGGACCTGGGTTTGTTATGAACTGAGAGATGGGGCTTTTGGGGGATGGTGACTTCTCTGTGTAAGGGAAAAGAGAAATTAGAACAGCAGACTGGCCTGGCTGGGAGCTGTCCTTGGCCCTCCTGCCCTTCTTTCTGAGCCCCCAGCTAGACTCTGTCTTCCCACCTCCTTCCTATGAGCAATGCCACTCCAGGCCTGGCCCACAAGAAAATGTCCCAGAAAGCCCCCCAGCTCAGCCAAGTGGATGCTGGTGACCCAACAAGGCAGAGGTGCTGGGCCCCAAGTGGAAGGCCATTTATCAAGCCCAGCCTTCTGCTAATGTGCAGGTGGGAATTGTCCCCCTTAAGCCACTGAGGTTGGGAGCTGTGTGTAGTACAATTAGCCTAAGTTAGTCTTTGCATGTCATGTAACTTTGGGAATCAATTTCTTTTGTCAGTTTCCATGCACACAAGGTCTGTTGGGTTTGCCCATCATCAGTAATGTCAATAAAATTGACGTCTCTACAATGTGGACTCCCTAGTCCACAAGGCTGACACACGTCCATTTTCTTCGATATGCTCTCATCTCAGTGATGGTTTTCTGCGCAGAGGCTGAGTGCCTCACTGTTAGCTTTGCCCTCAGGTACGATGAGTTGGGTTGCTGCTGTACTCATTTCTTAAAATGTTGTCTCTTTATTGCAGTTGATCTTGTTTAATAGCTTTTATCTGGTGACCATGCTAAATGTAGTTACTGCTGTTGGCTGACCTCAAGCTTTTTCTGGACTCTCTCTATGCACAACCGTGGCATCTCTAAACGTTTAATCTCCATGTCATTCCTCCCTTTCTTTCTCTCTGCCGTCTTTTCCTCATCGCACAGGCTATGAGGAGACATAGTAGTGAAAGCAGGTGTCCTTTGTCTCTTCCTCATTTCAGGATTGAGCTTCCAGCAGTTCGAGTCGTCATGTGCATCTGGGTTTATTGCTGAGCTTTTTTATCATGAGCAGTGTTGGATTCTACCAAGGGTTTTTCTATAAATGTCAAGGTTATCATTTGATTTTTCTATTTTATTTTGTGATGTAAATTGCATTTATCTTTAGAATTTTAAACCCACATTTTTAAAGATTTTATTTATCACTTTATAGAGACAGAGAGAGCGTGTGTGCACATCTGAGTAGAGGGAGGGACAGAGGAAGAGAGAGAAAGTCTCAAGCAGACTCCATGCAGAGCTTGGGGCCTGATGTGGAGCTCAAGCTAGTGACCCGAACAAAACCAGAACTTGGACGTTCAACCGAGCCACCAGGTGCCCCTGCACCCACAGTAGGATTTTAAACCTGTAACTTGGTTGTGAAGCAGTATATGCAGAGGGAACTGGGGGCTGTGCACCTCCATTTGTGTGAGAAGTGCCCTGTAAGCCTCCTTTCTTTCAAGCACTTTTCATGTTTTGGTGAATCAGGGTTTTGCTGACTTAATAAAAGGAGTTAGAAATTCTTTCATTTTTCTTTTCTCTGGCAAAAAAAAATTTTTTAAGTCTGGAGTCATTCAGAGCATGTATGCCAGAATTCATACCTGACACTGTCTGATCCTAGAAGGCGTTTTGTGGGAAGATTTTTAACTAGAGTTTTAATTTTTTTAATTAGATATGGGATTCTTCAGAGTTCCTAATTCTTGGGTCAGCTTAAGTGAGTGGCTTTCTCTAGGGGTGTGTGCGCTTCATGTGAATTTTCAAGTTTCTCATCGTCAGTATGTCTGCGGTCACCTGTATTTTCAGTGTCTGTGAGATCTGTGGTGATGCTCCTTTGTCGTTGTGATAATAGTTGTTGTGTCCTCTCTTTACTCTTCAAAAGTCTTCCCTGGTTTTATTGACTTTTTGTCAGTGTTCTCAGAGAACTAGTGTTTATCTGCACTTTACATTTGTTCTTAGCTGCATTCTTATTAATTTCCTTTTTTTCCCCTTTGGGTTTAGTCTGTTCTATAAGATGGGTGCTTCTGTCCACTTCCCTTCTGGCATTTATGCTACACAGTTAGGGTGCCCCTCTCTTTCCCCTTGCCTGCATTGTATGTGTTGGCTATTTTATATTTTTATTGTCTTTCACTTCGAAATAATTTGAAATTTCTGCTTGGTTATTTCCATGATCTGTGTGTTTTCTGAAAGTATATTGACATAGAAATATTCGGGGATTTTTAGTTATTTTTCATTGACTTTTATTGAAGTCTAATACAGAAAAGCCCACAGATACAAGTGGCTCCAGGAATTGTTTGTGACCTGAACATATCCGCCACTCGGACCGAGACAGGGTTCATTTCTGTGACTCCAGAGACCGCGGCGTGGCCTTGACGTTCTGAAGTCTAAGGTGCAGTATATCTTCCTGCTGACGCAAGGGTGTCAGACACTTCTGCCCCTGGCCCACTGTTTTGTATCTTCTACAGTGTTGGTGCATGTTTTCATTGTGTCTGCATGGAGCCCAGCAGGGCGGCTAGTGTGCGGTCACCATTCTGGTCTGGGGTTACCCCACATTCCCCTTCTCTCGTGCTCCTTACTGGCTCCTGAACCCCCTGCTCCCACCAAGGAACCATTTCCTACCTGAAGGCAGTGCCTTCTGTTGGTGACAGATTCTCTGGTTTGTTTTTGTCTGAAAAGGACCTCCTTTTTTGCCTCCATTTTGAGGCATATTTTCACTGATCTTAGAATTCTTTAATGGACATTCATGTTTTTTTGGTGCTTTGATCCTATTCCTTCTTTGTCTGTCTCCTTTCACAGCATAGCTATCCTCTGTGTGATGACGGGTGTCTGCAGAGTTGTCCTGCTTGGCTTCACAGAGATCCCTCACCCTGGGCAGTGGGGGCCTTTGTGAGACTGGAGAACCACTGGTTCCTCTGTCCCCACAGCCTCCTGTGCCATTCAGGGACTCTGCCATGTGCAGAGTGATTGACTCCTCTCACAGAAGGCAGTGGGCGCTAACAGATCAGTGATAGCATTCCCAGGTGTTCGCATTTCTGGTCCATGGAGCTGTTTGTCTAGTCTGGGGTTGTCTGTGTATGTGCAGTGTGTCTTTCTAGACAGGCGTGGTCCCCACTTCCTGAGCACCAGGCTTGGCCATGCTGTTTTGGGGGCACTCTGCATGGCCCTTTGGGAAGGCACCTTTCCTGCTGGCCTCGCTCAGAGGGTCTGGCCACGTACAGGGCTGTCAGGTCTAGCCAGTGCAGGGCAGGGCTCCCATGAACCTAGAGGACCTGGGTCCTGTCTGTGGGCCATGCCCCCCATGGCTGGCCCCCAGGCAGTATTGTATGGGGTCCCCGGCTGTCCCGACGCCACACCAGACCCTCATCTCCCAAAGCCAGACCTGGTCCTGGCCCCTCCGCATTCCCCGCCAGAAGGCCCTGGCCCTTCAGGGTACAATCCCCAGTTTCTAACACTGACCTGATTTAGTTCCACTGTTGTTTTAGTGGAGTTTGGGAGCACAGATGGCCCCCAAACTGCCATCTGCTATCCTGACACTCATGACTTGCTTACAGTCTAGACCAAAGACCAGACAGGGAGGTCGAGCAAGACTCTTCCGCACCTTTTCGGTCTGACATGTGTCCATACTGTTCCGTGTGGTTGATAGCCATTCCTCCCAGACTCCTGCAGCAGGACGGGCTTTATGCCATTGTGGTCCAGGCAGAAGGCAGGTCCGCACTGGGGGCCAGCAGCAGGCAGACACCGTTTCTTCAGCCCTTATGTTTTTAAATAACTTGCAACTACTTGTGATTGGTTGAAAGCTGTATTCCTCTGCTTTTTTCCTTCTGAGTTCCATGTGCCTCCTCCGTGAAAGCCTGGCTTTGGGGGTACCCTTCCAAGGAGGGGTATGTCTAACGTCACAGATGATATGACTGAGGCTACTCTGCACCCCAGGCGGGTCCCAGGGCCCCATAGCACTGCCTTTCGGCTCTTGGACTGACAAACAGCCGCTGGCAGCTGGGACATGGGCGCCCCTGCAGGCCTCCTGGAGATGGTTTGTGTCTTCTGTGGCTAGTTCTGGGTGTAGAGGTGCAGTTTTGTCCTCAGGCTGTCTATGGTCGTGTTGGAAGCAGTAACACAGGCCCTGGCTTTCCTTCCCTTTCAGACTGACGCAGACATCCAGGCGCTGTTCATGGGCATAGACGGCCTGTGTAAGAAGTACTCAAGAGAGACCTGCCAGGTGAGCTCTGTATGTGGTGCCATGTCCTCAGCCTGACCCGGCCACAGCAGAGATTCGGGGCTGTGATGACCTTGGAAGATATGGGTGTTACAGGCTCTGGAGAGCAGCCCCTCCAGGGGTTTTCTGCCTTCAATGTGACAAAGCCGTCGGTCAGCTGTGTTCTGTTGTTTGTGCTATGCCTTTGCTGTGTACGGGGACATCGCTGTCCTTTGAGCCTCATGATCTGGGGCAGACCTGAGAGTTCGGGCTTGAAAGGGCCCCAGATCAAGGCTGCAGGTCCTTTCCAAGGGTCATGGTCCACGCAGACATGCTTTCCCCTGGCTCCCAGGGTGCCTGTCTTCCTCCCAGTCCTGCTCTGCTGTCCACACCTGCCTCGCCCCCCATGTCTCCCCTACCTCTCCTCCTCCCTCTAGCGTTGTGACCCTATGCTCACCCCATGTCCCACCCCAGAAGCCTGGCCTCCCACAATCACTGGACAATGTGCGGGCCACCATTCTGTCCAGGGAGCTGCTTGGGAGAGAAGGGAGCCCTCCAGCCCCAGCCATCCTGCTTCTCCCTGTTCTGTTAACATGAAGCCCCTGTGGGCTGCCTCCTACCTACCTTCTGGGGCAGGAGGCTGAGTGGGGCACCAGCCAGGAGCCACCTCCAGCCAGGACCTTCCCCGGGGCAGCTTGCATGCTTGGGCCCACCTGCGCCAGCGAGACCTTCCCACCCCCTATTTCCCATGGCCGCTTTCCAGCTGTGACGCGGCCAGAAGTCCCACGGTGTCACAGCCATCCCATCTACATGTAGCCCCGTAGCCACACACAGATGTCCCAGAAGCCAGCTGTGTTGCAGAGCTTGGGCGGCCCTCCAGCTCACGGTGCTCAGAACCACGGGCAGTCCTGTGCTTGGAAGAGTCTTGCCAAGGACGTGGCATCTCTAGAGCATTCACCTGTGCAGAGCTGGGTCGGGGGAGGCTGCAGAGGCAACTGCCAAAGGATCTCCCTCACTCCTCTGGGCCACACGTCCCATGGCCAAGTGGCCTCCTGTCTGGGTGTGAAGTGGAGTTTCCAGAGGCCACACAACACAATGTGGCATCATTATGCGCATTAATACACTGGGCTTGCTATTCTTGAAGGAACAGATATGTGTCATAAATTCCTCTTGACATTAATTTCTAGTGGGGGTTAGCACTGACAGGGCAAAGCCGCATCAACAGTAACTTTAAGAGTGAGGCCATCCTCAAGCCGTGGCACGGGCCCCGACGACGGCAGACCCATGGCAGGTGGGTCCACAGAAGCGGCCAGGAGGTCACCCTTCCTGATCCAGCTGCAAAGAAGCAGAAACTCTTCCTCTCCCTGAGGCAGGGCTAGCCTGCATCGGCTGCTGAGTGTGCACATGTGGCTGCCTCTCCAGGGGGACGGGCCCGCTGGGTAGCAGGCGTCTCGAGCAGTCCTGCAGCCTCCCCGCCTGTCACAGGGACCGGTACAGAGGACACGGACATGCTCAGCTCCTGGTCTTGGCTTCCTTAGCCTCTGCACTTCATAAAAATCTCACGAGACAGGTGCCCCCTCTGTCCAGGAGGGCACTCCTACCAGAGGAGGGTCATGGCCCTTTTACATTTTGTTTTGCTGGTGTCCATATTCTCCGCCTGGGTCAAGGCCACAGCAGCTCAGCCTGAGGAGCCGGACACACCGGAGTCCCAGAGGCTGGCTCCTGCCTGATATAGGTGGGCAGCCTACGGCTCTAGGGATCCATGCTGCCCTTGGACTTGCCCCAGGCCCCTAGGGGCTTGGTATCTGGTCCACAGGCCTCTCTCCCTAGCTCAGCTTAGCCCATGGTCTCGCTTGCGGCCTCACTACCTTGTCTGTCTGTGCCAGCCATGGAAGCCGGCATGCTTGCTCTCTGCCTATACTCATTTACGAATAGCCACGGGCCTGCCTGCAGGCCCTGTGGAACCCCAGGGCTTCTGAGGTCAAGGTCCTACAGACCAGTGTGGGCACAGCCCTGCTCCCAGACGCTCCAGGTAGGCTGTCCTGCGGTTACTTCCAGATGTTCCTGCTTTCTGTTTCTCAGAGTGGACCCTGCACCAGGACATGAGGTTGAGGGATCGGTGTGCGACACCCTCTTCCTGCCGCGGGCACAGAACCAGTCGAGGAGTGAGACCAAGCAAACAGGCGGAGGGGTGGTCTAGCTCTGCCAGAGCTCCTACACACTGTGTACAGTCCCCACCTCTGGTCCAGAACCTGCCAGCCCTTCCTTTCTGCCCCACACCACCTTGCCACCTCCAGGGAGCCATAGGGCCTGAGAGCTGTGGCCGAGCATTGGGGACATTTCTGGGACGTGGCCTCATGAAGAAGAAGATGTTCATGGGGGCGACATTGCTGGCCCCTTTTGGCACCCCCGCCACAGACTAACACTCCAGGCTGAGTCTGTGTCCATCGATCCTTGTCTTGTGGAGCAAGAGCCCCACGCAACATGTCCCCCAGGCCCCGAGGGCATGGAATCCCTGGGAAGATGAGGAGAACAGGAAGAGAGTATTGGTCACTCCTGACCGTGGCTCCATCTTGTAGAGGTGGCCTGCCCGGTAGAGGAGGCACTGAAGACATGCTGTGGGCTGGCCATCCTGTCCACCGTGGTTTCTCCCTCAGTCTGTGCTAGCCCTGCAAGCCTGGGGACAGCGCTAGCTGTCCCTTCGTGTCCACCCACTAAGCACAGTCCTGGGGTGCACTGATGAGGTGTTGACCCTAGAGGATGCTGACCTCACATCCCAGGCCCGCAGGAACCCTACCTGGGGCAGCAGCATCAGGTTTCAGCAGTCATGGCGTAGTGCTCCCGGAGGGAAGGCATAATTGTCTGGAAACTTCCCTTAGGGGTGCCTAGGGGGTTCAGTTGGTGTAGGCTCTGCCTCAGGTCGTGATCCCGGAGTCCTGAGATCGACCACCCACATAGGGCTCCCTGCTCAGCAGGGATCCTGCTTCTCCCTCTCCCCCCGCACCCTGCTGGTCCTCTTGCTCCCCACCTCCAACAGAAAAATACAACAAATAACAAGAACTTTCCTTAGTGTGGGGTGGCTCTTTCCGCCCCAAGTCAATCATAGATCACGGTTTCTGACTCAGTGTTCTTGGGAGCCCCTGCGGATGTGGAAGTTGAGCCTTCTCTAAGCGGAAGAGCAGGGGTAGCACTGGTCCCGGGTGCAGCAGGCCCTGGGGGTCTGGACAAGGTCCCTGGGCTCCGCTTCATGCTGTGCCATCCCCTGCCAGCCTCGTCCAGAGAGTCCCCGTGGGTGCTGTTTGGTCAGGAGGCCATCCCATGATCCCGTTGCTATGCCCACTGGGTTGTGTCCTCTGCCATGGCAAGACCCTGAGTGCCACACGGCGCACAGGCACCACTACACGCACCACATGGCTGCACCAACCTCTGCCCTGGGCACAGGGTGGCAGGGGCCAGGGGGCAGGCAGGGCCGTGGGGGAATGGAGTGTGCTTGTACCTGCACCGAAGGCCCCTGCCGGCTCCCGGGACAGCGTGCGTGGTTGCGGCCCCGTGTCAGTGCCAGCAGCTGACATGCATTCTCTGCTCAGATTTCAGAATTTCAAGAGAAGCACAGAAAGAGACTCTTGGCCTTCTATAGAGAAAAGGTAACCCCTGACTTACTGCCTCGTGAACCCAGGTGGGGGGCCCCAGGACCAGCTCCTGTCCTGCTGGCCCACGTCCCTGCACAGGTTCCCGTCCGTGGTTGGCCCGTGGCCGCTTGGGGGACCCGGCTGTGGTCATGGGGCAGTTTCCCTGTGGAACACCAACACATATGAATGTCCCCGGAATGCCTCAGGCTCTATCCACACAGTGCTGCTAGGAGGTCGCACTAGGGGACGTTGACAAAAGGACGTTTGAGATGCCTGTTTGCCCTATAAATACCCTCCTCCACACAGAGGGAGAGCAAAGCCTCGGTGAAAGCGGGTCTGGAGTGTAGATGGAGGGCTCAAAGCAGCGCCGGGTCCAGGCCACTTGCCGAGGCTGGGCCACCCTGCACGGCTGCCCAGACCCCTTCTCAGCACTGGTTCCCGGGGGCCCTAACAGCCTGCACGCAGGGCCCATGTGCCGTGTCCACCACGTTCTGGCTCGTGGCTTATGACACCCAGAGGGTCAGCATGTCCTGATAACTGGAGTCTGATTGTGTTTAGATCACAAAGTTGGAGGAGTCCCTTCGGAGGTCAGCATTGCGGATGGAACAGCTGCAGGGGTGAGTCCTCCCCACCAGCGCACCCAGGGCGGCTGATGGCTGTCCGCTCAGCTGTCTGAGACCAAGTAAGACCTTGTAACTGAGGAGGGAAGAAAGAGCACTTGCGTTTGCTAGCAGCTTCTGTCAGAGTGGAGCTGCAGTGGGAAGGGAAAGGAGCCATGAAAACATACAGAAAACACCTAGGGGGTTCCCGGTGTGTCCTGGGGCAGAGGGGCTCTGCAGCCAGGCCCTGTTGGACCCCTGCCCACAGCCCGCTGGCTTCCCATCTGCCAGGAACCATGGCACCTGTGACGGTGAATGCGGGCAGCCCGTGTCCCCATCGGTGTGGAGCCCACAGTCCCCCTAGGGCAGCATCCACACAGCCCCTGCATGGGCCACAGCTCCTTCTGTTCTGTGAGATGGACTAGGGTTCTGTTGGGTGTGTTAACATGGGGATTCTTCAGAAGTCCCAATTTGCGGGTCACTCGTTCAGTTAAAGTAAGTGGCTCTGGGGAGCTTCTGTCCACCCAGCTGATCGCGTGTGCAGCGGTGACCCACGTACTATTGGTGCATGCTGGCTGCCAGGTTGCACCGGGCAGCTGGTGGTCACACGGTCAGCGGAGGGCCTGTCTGGGCTGAGCACCAGGGTGAGGGTGTGCTCTGGGCTCCGTATACTCTGCGGAGGTCACCCCGGGCTGGCACCGCCTTCAGTGCTTGGGAAAGAGTGTGAGCACAGCCTCGGAGACCCCGCGAGCTCCGTCCAAGTCCAGGGAGCGGCAGAGAGGGCAGTGTGACCACGCAGGGTCACTCGGATTGTTCTTGGTGTATAAGCAGCTTTTCTTTCTGGGGAACCCGTCCACTGCCGCAGTCTCTCCCGGGCTGCCCCACGTGCTCCTGTCTCCGCAGCCCCCAGCCCAGCTTCTCTGCTCAGCTCTGCGCTGCACACCTTTTCTGCCTCACGTTCATTTTAGTTGCTCAGTTTTGCATTCCTAGAAGGTTCCTGGTCATTTTCCCCACTGTGGGGTCGTCTTATCTTCATCCCCATCTTCTGTTTGGGCACATGACAGGCTGTGTGTCTCCCACACCCCTGACCCCTGCATGTCCAGATCCTGTCTGTTCTCCTTGGGCTCCTGCTTCAGGTAGGGCCCTTGCGGCCTGGCTGGGGTGGGGTGGGCTCGTTCTTCTGGCTCACTGTGCGTGTCCTTGGCTTGGCCTGCATCCTGGAGGGAGGACGCCCTCCCCCAGACCACCGCCTGCGCACGAGGAACAGAAGTCATGCAGGGCGGCGATCACTGTGGGGGAGTTGCTGGGTTGGCTCTCGGTGACAACACTGTCCTGGGGAGGCTGGCCCTGAACGGACGTGTGTTATGAAGTCTGTAAGCAGGAGCCAGTGCCCTCGCAGGTGCGAGGTCCCCACAGCGCGGATGCTGACGTCCACCTGCCCCCAGCCCCTGGTCACTGAGTCACTTGGCAGGTCCTTGTCCAGTGCCTGCTCGCTCCCAGCACTGGGTACTGGTAGGTCTGAGCCAGCCACAGGCGTGTACTCAGGGCCTTCTCTGGGTAGAAAGTGCGGCTGGCAAGGGACAGGGGGCCAGGCGGACAGGGAGCATTTGGCCGAGTTTGTCCTCTTCTGCTTCAAACTGAGATGATTTATGTGGGAGTAAATGTTTAGGGTTTAATTCACACCTTCTCTCCATCTCTTTAGGATGAGATTGTCACAGCAAACAGCTTTCAGCGCAGTAAAAACTCCAGTTTCAAGTAAATATCATGGGGCCTGAGCAGGGAGGGATGTGAAGAGGCATGCAGCGGGGTTGGGGGAACGCGGCCTGACGCTCAGACCCTCCTTCCCCCCAACAGCTCCTTCAGCAAAGCCAGACGGACACCTGCTCTTGCCCCCTGACACGTCAGCCTCTGACAGGTGTGTGCCCAGTGGGAACAGCTGAGGGTCCCTGAGAGTCACAGACGTGACCAGTCACACAGCCCTTCCTCTGGCATGCCCTCAGTTCTCCACCCCCCATCCCTGCAAGTGCCCTGATGCTGGACAGCTCAGGGGATACTCAGCTCAGGACTCAGGAGCTTGCCCCCCTCCAGCTCCTCTGTGCCCTGTGGAACCTCACAGGCACAGCCCAGAATCGGGTGTGCAGCCCAGGCTGGCCCCTCACATCTCCATCCCCACAGCCGTAGTGATTGGTTGGGGGCAGTCCTGCACCCATGCTGGGCTGGTGGGTGTCATCCCTGGGACGCTGATCTGGGACCAGGATGGCCAGGCAAGGGGAGGCGCTTGGAAATGAATCCAGCACAGACAGAAACAGGACAGGAGACTACAGCCGTGCTGGTGGCACCCCTGGGGACTCTGACCCATCCCAGCAGAGGGAGCCACACCCCTCCCTGTGGCTCTTCCCTGAGACGGTCAGGCTTGAGTTTGGGCGCTGCACCTGAAAGCACTCTGGGCGCCAGGTTCACTCCCCCACCCTTCCTTCATCCTTTCTTCTGCCGTTTTTCTCCTACGGGGCTGCTCAGATGATATTGCCTGTCAGACATGGGGCTGAGGTGTTGGGGGCTAACACCAAGCACGTCTGTGTGAATTGTGTTGGTCAGGCGGGAGGAATTCAGAAAACTAGACGAGACGTCCCGGCTTGCGTTGCAGGAGGTTTGGCCTGAGTTAGAGGGGCGCGGACATGGATGGCGCACTGAAGGGGGCGTAGGACGGCAGTGGAGCAGGGGCTCCAGAGCAGGCACAGGGCCCGGAGGAGAAGTGGTCCCATGTGCGTGTGGCTGACAGACTGTGGCACCCAGCAAAGAGCCTGACGCACAAGAGGGTTTGGCCGTGACCCTGGCCCTGAGTTTGTGTCCTAGCCAGCGCGGTCATGTCGCTGACGAGCCTCAGGCCCACTAAATGTATCTCACTGTTCACTTAACAGAGTGGAGTCCATGCAGGTTGACCATACTCCTTCCCCGGTAAGAAAAGTAAGTACCCATGTCCCTGGGCTGCTTGTCCCCCACGCAGCGTCCTTTCATGGTTTTCCTTGGCACCCAGAACATAAGCGTTTGCCTAACAGGTGGATCATGGCGGGGTCTCTTGTCATGGGCTGTGCTGAGGGGAGAGCCCACTGGGGTGTGGTTGGTAGCATAGTTCCTGGATGGCCCTTCAGGGAGCAGGGCTGGGACTGGCCGAGGGACAGGGAGCAGATGGGCAGGCAAGATGGAAGTGAGGCTGCATCAGGCTCAGCCCCATCCAGCCAAGTACAAACGTGGAGGGTTTTGAGGAGCGCAGGAGAGAGATCAGAGCAGAGGAAGCTTGGGGCCCAAGCCTGGCCCAGCTCGAGGTGGGCCAGACTGACCCCCCCACCTGGCCAGACACAGCTCAGAAAGGGGAAGCTGGTCCCCAGAGGGAGGCTCCTGCTGCCCAGAGAGGGAGTGAGCGGGTCAGGAGAGTGGCCTGGTCTGGTGTGCACGGGCTCCTTGGTGTTGGGGCGTCATGGGTCAGGGGCACAGCGTCTAGTGCTTCTTGTTCATGGCCTCCCAGTCGCCCTGTGAGGCGTGCGTGGATGTTGGGGCTGCTCAGTGAGAAGTAGCACTCATTTCCAAGGGGGCCACCTTGTAACTATATTAGGGAAGAATCCAGATTCCAGGATGAGCAGGTGGGAAGACAAAGCCATTCAGAGCTGGGACGGAGGAGACACCCAGTGCTTAGCTCACGCCAGACTGTGCTCCCCCCTCCACCGCCCCACGGGCCGTCACTGCAACCCACATCATACCCTGGATGGAGACTGTGGATGCACTGCTTCCCGCCCTCTGGGTCCTAGCAACCCCCCCACCTGCTGGTCTCTGCTCCCCAGAGTCTGGACCCTGAGCCTCCCCAACATGTGGCCTTGTTTTGGAGATTGAGACTGAAAGCCTCTGTGGACTCGCAGGTTGCTGGCTGCTAGAGCCGAGGGACCAGAACACAGGAAACCGTCTTGAAATTGCAGAGTGAGATGCCAGACCGGTGGGAGCACCTGCTGCCATCATGGTGGGTGGGGGACAGAGAGGCTCTGCACAGAGGTCTCCAGGACACAGGCTTCCAGGCTGGAAATGAGCCGCTGCTAGTGCATTCAGGGACAGGCCTTGGGCTGCGGTTTGCCCGGCCTTTGCCGGGCCAGAACACAGAGCCGACTTGTCTACTGTGTGGACCCCGCCAGGCCAGTCTGGCCACCCTGGGAGCGGGTACACACTGGGTGCACACGAGGGCGCCTTGGCCAGAGCTGCTCTGTGCACCCGGTAGGGGACAGGGTGAGCACTATCTCCTGGGAGACCGGGCGGGGGCAGGGGCCACACCCTTTCCTCCAGCGTTGAGAGAACCACGCTCTCTCTGGTGGGCCAGCACTGTCATCTGGTGCTTTTGACAAGGTGAGTGGCCATGGCCACGGGGGAAGCAGAGTGAGGGCACCGCAGCCAGCCGAGGAGATATCACGCCCACCACAGACCCTGCGCAAGTAGCAGGGGCTCAGCCACCAGGGCCTGGCTCCTACCAGTCCTGGAGGGGCCTCATCCTCCTTGCCCCCGCTGCCCTGCACAGAGACAATGAGCAGGCTGGAGCCTCCCCAGGGACGGGGCCTTCCCTACTTGTAACTTCCTGCTGGGGACTCACCAGCATGGAGTGAAGCTGTCTATGGCTCACGAATTCATAAGGGAAGCCAGCAGAATGTGAAAGCCTGCTTGCGCATCAGCCTTCGAGAATGCAGAAGCGAGCGGGCTGACGGACATGTCACCAGCAGCCCCCGCAGGGCACCCCGGCCAGGATAGGGCTGCTGTCATGTGACTCCAGGACCAGCAGCAGCAGATACCTGGGTAGGGAGCTTTGGACAGCTATAAACCCCCGACACTGGGGAGTTGCACATTTTTCTAGAGTGTTTATCTTCTCGCAGGAAAAGCCTTCGCTGAGGCAGTTGTAAATAGAGGGGAAGCATGAAGCTGTATTTGCACCCTCCCTTGAGCCAGGCCTGGTCTGCGGGGTGGCAGGGAGCCCCCCTGCAACTGCCTGCCCCCCCGGGGGTGCTCTCCTCCTCACAGGCATTGGCCACACCCTGTCTTCTCTGTTTTCTGGTGAGCTCCTGGCCGGCCCCGTAGAGGCCTCTGCTCTTGAGCCACCCACATGCAGCCTAGTGTGGGACACCTCCCTTGGGAGCCGTGGCTTCCTTGCTCGGGTCCAGGGCGAGTCTGTGCCTGCTCTGCTCAGAATGGCCTCTGGCCTGGGCTCTGAGAGGCTGTTGGAGTTCTGCATGTGCCTGAACACAGCGGCCAACATCCTGAGCCCAGGCAGTAACGCCCCATCGTGCCCCAGGAAACAGATCCTCATTGGCCCTGTCCTGGTACCTCTGACTCCCTGTGCCCACACAGCCAGGCTGTCTGTGCTGCAGCCACTACGCTGGGCACTCTGAGTCTTTGTATCATTTTGGCTTCACCTGTTACCACCTTGTCCTTAAAACAAATGAAAGTCCTTTTTTTAGCAGAAGCTAGGGTGAGAAAAGACAAATTACCTGCTCGAATCCAACTCAGTAGTTTTCAGTCTTGCTCCATGATGATAATTTTTCTGTCCATTGTTTAGAGCTGGACGGAAATGGGGCTCAGGGGCACATCCCTGTGGGAGGCTGTGAGGGGAGCAGGTGCAACCGGCTGCTGGGGCACACAAGAGTGGGGCATCTGGGAGCCTTGACTCAGTGACCTAGCAGGCGGCCATGGAATGGGGAGCCCTGGGGAGGGTGGACAGGCCAGGCACTCTGGACTCACTCTGATAGCAGCAGCATAATAAAGCAGTTTCTAGGACTGGCTGATGGGAAGGACCCAGAAAGAGTGGGACCAGACAAGCTTATGGGGGGATCCATAGGCATCCAGCCCACCGTTCCCACGGATGGCTAGGAAAGACGCTTCAAACTGGGGAGCTCTGTTGTGGATGTGAGCACACTGTCCATGGCCATGGAGAGCTGGCTCTCCAGGCAGGGCAGTACTGTTTGCAATGCCTCCACCCGACGCAGCCGGTCCCTCCAGGGTTGAGTCTGGCTGGTGGGTATGAGCCAGGCAGTGGGGTCAGAGGGGGTGCCCTAGAGCACAGCAGCCAGGAGTGGCTGCCAGATGGTGGAGTAAAGGACCACTGGGGTAGATGTGCCAGCGGTGGGGGCTGGGAAGATGGGCCACCATCAGGGCCCTGAGGGGTGATGGCCAAGTTTAGGGACAGAACAGTGGGGACTGGGCTGCTTTTGGTCCCCGTCCTTGCAGCATCTCTGGTTGGAAGAGGGCTCCCCCATCGCTTTCATCTGCACCAAGGAGCTCTTCCCTCAGGGAATCGGGGAGGGGGACCGTCCCCAGGGGGAACATGACAGGTGCGTGGCCAGAGCAGGGTTCCCTGTGACAGGTAACACTTCACCCCTTTGGCATCTAGATTTCAAGGTGACAAAATTATATGCACAAAGTGAAGATTTAATCAGGATTTTAAAATTTATGATATCAGGGGCTCCTGGGGGGCTCAGTTGGTTAAGTGTCCGACTTGGTATTGGCTTAGGTCATGATCTCAGGGTCATGGGATCAAGTCCATGTCGGGCTCTGCCCCCAGCGGGGAGCCTGCTTGAGATTCTCTCCTGTCCTCAGCCTGGCTTGTGTGTGTTCTCTCTCTCTCTCAAAATAAATAAAATCTTAAAACTTACGATGTCAGTCAAGGACTTGATTTTTCTCTTTCAAAATCCGTCAAAGCACTTAGTGGACTCTCCATGTGCTGGCAGCGGTGGGCTCCCTGGGGCCACGGGACGCAGTGGTATAGGGCCCATGTCCTGCCCAGGAGCCAGCCCAGGAGCTTGCCCGGTGGATGGAGACTAAACAGTGTGTCCTTAGGAAATACAGAGAATCTCCCTCAGAAATGGCAGCACTGGAAACTGACTTGTTTTCTTTTTACACACTTAGCCTGAAGTGGCAGTTGGCCCAGCAAGAATCTCGCTGATCAGCCCACCTCAGCACGGACGCATGGGTAAGTGGGGATCCCAGCATGCACACCTCAGGTCAGCACGCAGACCAAGCTACGGTCCCTGGAAAGGAACATTCGATCAAACCCGTCAGAACCCACCCATGTCAATGATGTCCTTCAACAATGTCAGTGTGGGAGTGACCTATTCCCCAAAATGGTGTGGCTGCTGGGCCCACTACAGGACGTGGGCATGGTGGCCAAGTCCAGAGACCCTTCCAAGCCCGCCACAGACCGACCACGCTTTGGTGACGGTGCACCTCCTCTGGGCCTGGAACAAAATGGTTTCCTCACCAGGTTTGCCTCAGGGGTTGTTGGAGTGGCTGATGGGTTTGGGAGATGAGTGCCTATGCCACCAACAGGCTTGGACCCCTCTCTGCGGGGGTCTGGGTGGGCCTCTGGCTTAGCCCCTCTGCTGTTGCTCCCACCTCCTCACCCAGTGAGCTCAGGCCCGTGGGGCGGACATTTGCAACTTGGCACTGAGCTTGCTCGCCCTTGACCCCAGTTCTCTGCTCTCCATCTCCTTTGCTTTGTGCTGAAGGGGATATTCTAGCAGTGGCCTCATTGTAGGACTGAGAGACACGGTGTGTGCAGATTCATCACAGCTGAGTGGGAGTGGGGGGCCGACAGCACCTGTTCTGGGGGACGCTGGGGTGGCACCTCCTGGGTGTGGCTCTGCCATTTCCACGGGGGCCACCGTTCCCGCTGGCCGGGCGGCCCCTCAATATGGCTGTTCAGCCCACTCGCAGCCTCTTGTCCCCATTCCTTGCCTGCTGCTCCCATGCTGCCCACCTCAGGCCCATTGTGCCGGCTGGGAGAGAACTGAGCTCATGGATGCAGCCCACCACCATCCCCCGGGGATGGAGGCCCCCAGTATAGCCGGTTTATTTCCATGGGTGGACCTCCCTGCCACACGCTGGTGAGAACTCACGACACTTCCTCTGTAGTCCTGCTCAGCGTCCTGGGATGCCATTTCCGGGGTGTGTGATGTGGGGCTCCTCTTACAGGCGGCTGCCTGGCCTGGCTGCTTCCTCAGCCTGCATTGCCCCCCAACCTCCCCCAGGGGGCTCTTGCCCTCACTATCCACAGTGTGTCGGAGCTGTGTGCCGTAACGCTAGTCCTCACTGCATTCTCTCCCTGGACACGTTTCCACAAGGGAACATGGAGACCCCCTTGATGCTTTTCAGATGTGTTGATCAGAATGGAGAAGTGACAGGATGATGGCCCTATGAGCATCCTACCCTGTGCATCCCACTGTCCCTTCTGCCACTCTGGAAGGGACGTGTCCTCATTCCTGTGACTGTGACCTTGAGTGTCTTCATTTTAGTCATCTCTTGTCTGAATTGCCTGTTTTTCATTTGTCCTTCACATATATGAAATCCTCAGGATGAAGGATAATGATTTTTTTATCCAGTTTGCTATTTAATTGTCTAATTTTTTTAAATTTTAGATGCTTAACATTTTTTTAAAGATTTTATTTATTTATTTGACAGAGATCACAAGTAGGCAGAGAGGAAGGCAGAGAGGGAGGGGAAAGCAGGCTCCCTGCTAAGCAGAAAGCCCGATGGGGGGCCTGATCCCAGGACCCTGAGATCATGACCCAAGCCGAAGGCAGAGGCTTAACCCACTGAGCCACCCGGGCGCCCTGATGCTTAACATTTTTATGTATCAAATCTGTGGTTATGGTTTTTTCTGCTTCACAGATTTCTGTGTTTGGACAGATTTTTTTCCATATCCATACCATTTTCTTCTAGTTCTCAATATTTACCTTTTTCCAAGATCTTTGGAGTATATTTTGAGACACATTGTAAGATGAGGGTCCCGGCTTGATTTTTTCATAATTTATTTTGAAAATACCTCAGAAATAACACCCAGAAAAATGGTAAGAACAATATAAAAAACGCCCATGTTCCTTTTACCTGGATCCCCCAACATTATGCCCGATTTGCTCCCTACCCTTTATGGCCAGTGTGTCTGAGCCACTGAGAGCATGAGGCTGACATGGCAGGGACCCTCCAGGGTCCCTGGACGTCCCCTCCAGGGATGAGGGTGCCCAGCACAGCCTGCGGGCAGCTCAGCATCGGCATGGCTATGCCCATAGGCACTGAGCAGCCTTCTTTGCTCTGGGCTCCAAGTTCCCTGGGAGGACACCCTGCATTTTGTCATACAGCCGCTTATGTCTTGCTCACTTTCCCTCTTTCCTGTCTTCAACAATTTTAAGGATGATAGGCCTTGAATTCTAAAAGACCGTTCCCCTCCCCCCAAGCCTGGCTCAGCCAAGAATTCTATATCTAAGAGAATTCTCCTTCAAAGGTTAAGACAAAATAAACTTAACACAGAGTAACAAAAACATAATTGTTGCTAGCAGACCTGCCCTACAAGAAATCCAAACAGAAGGCATTAAGTTGCAGACACACGGATGGTACCTAACACACTGGAGGGAACAGGGTCTCATGGTCTCACTTACTTGACAAAACCTAAGATTGTGGAAGCAACAAGAGTAACACTCATCAGGTCGTAATAAACAGACATAACACATAGGGCAGTATGCATGGAGGAAGGGGGGAGCGGGGCCATGTTGGAGCAGAGGTGACACAGCTCAACAGAATTAAGTTGGAATGCTGACTTGTTTAAAGTAAACATGATGGGGCGCCTGGGTGGCTCAGTGGGTTAAGGCCTCTGCCTTCGGCTCGGGTCATGATCCCAGGGTCCTGGGATCGAGCCCTGCATCGGGCGCTCTGCTTGGCAGGGAGCCTGCTTCCCCCTCTCTCTCTGTCTGCCTCTCTGCCTACTTGTGATTTCTGTCAAATAAATAAATAAAATCTTTAAAAAAAAATAAAGTAAACATGAACATGAGTCCAAAAATAGTTTTTTTAAATCAAGAGGAATTAAAATATTACATTAAAAAGCATTTGTTTACCAAAAAAGAAGCCAATAAAGGCAGACTAGAAGAAAAAAAGGCACATGAGGACTATAGACAAATAACAAAATAGGTGTAAATCAGATCCTATCAGTGCTTACCTTCAATGTGACTAGGACTAATCCCCAATCAGGAGGCGGAGGTTGTCAGACTGGAGGAAGAAGATGCAGCCACATGCTGTTTGCAAGAGACACACTTCAATCCAGCAGCGCAAATAGGCTCAAAGTACAGGGAGGAAACCACACCATGCAGAAGGGAACCAGACAAGCTGGAGCCACAGTATGAGTGTTAGACAAAACAGTTTTGGACGAAGGTGGTTTCTGGAGAAGAGGAGGAGAACATCTCGGTGACATAGGGTCACCCTATCAGCAAGACACAGTTATGTTGTAAACACATGCAAAAACAGATCTATGAAGCAAGAGCTGACAAAATGGAAAGAAGAGATAGACGATTCCATCTTAGAGATCTTAATATACTTTTCACAGGTTGATAGAACACCTACACAAGGAAAGATGTAAAAGGAAGAAGAAGACAGTAAGTAGCCCACACAGATCTAACCCTCCCCCCACCCCGTGATCACATCAAATGTGAATGTTCTCAACACCTGCCAATAGAAGAGCAGAAATGGTCAGACTGGTGCAAGAGATACCCCTACAGGAGACTCACTTTAGATTCAAGGATACAAATAGGAAAGTTATAAAGATCTATCAAGCAAACAATAACCAGTAGAGATAGGCGATTTTCACATCAGACAGAATCAGGGTTTTGGTTTTGTTTTGTTTTTTAAAGATTATTTATTTGAGAGAGAGAGAGGGAGAAAGCATAATCAGAGGGAGAAGCAGGCTTCCCACTGAGCAGGGAGCTCTATCCCAGGACCCTGGCATCATGACCTGAGCTGAAGGCAGACAATGGATTGAGCCACCCAGTTCTCCAGAATCAGTCTTAAGATAAATATTATTAGAGACAAAGAGGGGCATTTCATGATGATAAAAAGGACGGTACACCAGGAAAACATAATCATTATCACTGTAGACACCAAAAATGGAGGGCCTCAAATTTTTGATGACAAAACTTACAAAAATAAAAAGGGAAATGGTTAATTGAACAATTATGATTCAGATATTTCAATAACCCACTCCAGTAACTTGAACAACACTGTTAACCCCACTAACTTACCTGACAGATGTGGACCCCATCCAGTAATAGCACCACACACATTGCTTTCCAGTGCAATTGGAATAATGTCTAGAGTATACCACGTACCAGGATATAAAACAAGTCCTGACATATTCAAAGGGATTATAATCACACAAAGGGTATTTGCAGGTGACAGTGGAATTAAATTGAAAGTCAGCAACAGAAAAAATCAGAATAAAACAAATATTTGGAAATTAACACAACTGTAAGTACTATTGGGTCAAGGAAAAAATCATCAGTAACATCAAAATATCTTGAATTGAATGAAAGAAAATACAACAAACCAAAAATTTTGAGATGCAGGTATAGCAATGCTTAGAGGGAAATGTTTACTTTTAAATGCTTATGTTAGAAAGGAGATCTGAAACCAGTGAGCTCCCAACCTTAAGAAGCTGCAACAAAATATACTAGAAATCTATAAAATAGAAAACTCAGTGCAACCTAGTTTGTCTTATGAAAAAAATTAGCAAAATTGGTAAACTTTTACCTAGAGTGCCAAGAAAGCACAAATTGCCAGTATCAGGAATGAAAGGGGGGACATCGCTACATACCCTACAGATATTAGAAGAATTATAAGAAAGTATTATGAACAACTCTATGCCAACAAAGTAGATGACTTACATGAAATGGATAAATTCCTATAAAGACATTATCAAAACTACCTCAAGAAGAAATAGTAAATCTGGATAGACCTCTATCATGTGAAGAAGTTGAATTAATAATTTTAATATCTTTCCACAAAGAAAAACCCATTTCCCAATAGCTTCATGGGTGAATTTTATGAAATATTTAATTAACTTATAATAAACCTACATAAGTTCAGAAAATAGAGGACTGAACACTTTCCAGTTCATTTTACAAAGTCAGCAATATCTTAAAGCCAAAGACAACACAAGAAAAATAACTGAGCAGTATTTCTTATGAATATGGATGCAAAATTCTTTAAAAGTATGTGAGGCGATCAAATCTAGTGACGGGGAAAAGGATTGTACACCATCACCAAGTGGGGTTTATCCCAGTAATTCAAGGTTATTTGACATCTGAAGATCAATTAGCTATATTAGTAGAAAAAAAAGACTTAATTAGATATTTTCAAAAGATAATTTGAGAAAATTCTGTAATCATTCATGGTAGAAGCTCTCAAGAAGGCAACTTGCTCACCAGGTAAAGGGCATCTATAGAAAACCCACAGCCGACAGGGTACTGTTGAGAGGGAGCACACCCCTGGTGCACGGTGGGGCACCCATAGTCCAGAGCCCTGCTCCAGCCCACAACCACTGGGGGCTCCAGGCAGTGCAGGGAGGCCAGAGAAGGATGTGAAAGGCACATAGACTGGGTGAGAATGAGTGTAGTGTCCTTATCATAGACGGTATGCCCTTGTGCGCAGAAAATCATAAGGGATCTTTAAGAATACTAGTATGAATCAAACAAGGTTGGCAAAGTTACAGGATGCAAGATACATATACAAAAGTCAGTTGTAATTCTACATATGATAAACGGTCCCAAACTGAATCAATTGGTCATAGCTGCCAGAGTTTTCTTCTCGGCTTTGTATTCTTTTTTACTGATCAAAATACCATCTTAGGGGTACTGGTTGCCTCAGTTGGTGGAGCGTGCAACTCTTGATCTTGGGGTTGTGAGTTTCAGCCACACATTGGGTGTAGAGACTACTTAAATGAAATTTTGAAAAATACCACCTTATTTTTGCTTCACCATAAATTTTGAAATCAGTGTTAGCCCTCTGACTTTGTTCTTAATTTATCAAAATGATTTTGATTGTTCTAACCTTTGTGATTTTACATAAATCTTAAGATCCTTTGTCAAATTCTACCCAAAAAAAGCCTGCTGGGATTTTAATGAGAACTGTGTTGCATCTGCACATCAGTTTCGGAGAGAACTGGTATCTTAACAACTTTCAGCGTTTGAGTCCATCAGCATGGATGTTTCTCCACTTCCTAAATCTCTAATTTATCCAGGGGATCATCTGTGGCTCTCGGTGTATACATCTTACCTTTGTTGATAAACTTATTCCTCAGTAATTGCTTTTGATGGTGTAATTCTGTTCCTTTAATTTTTAAGTTGGTCACAGTCTGCAAGGCATAGTTTTTCCCATTCTTTTTTATTTTCAACCCATTTATGTCTGAATCCAAGGCCTATCGCCTGCAGACTGTATCAGATGTTGCTTTTCTTGTTGCCTGATCCATTCTTATACTGCCTGCGTTTTCACTGGAGTGTTTGGTCCATTGATGGTTAATACAGTTATCAGCATATTTGGATATATGTCTGCCATTTTGCTACTTGTTTTATGTGTGACTTGGGAATTGTTATTTGTATCTCCTTAACTGCCTTTTTTTGCATTAAATATTTTTAGTGTACCATTTTGCTACAAATTGAATTATCTCCCCTTAAAATTAATATGTTGACGCTCTAACCCCCCACATGACTATTTGGAGACAGAGCCTTTAGGAGGTAAATGAGGTCATAGGGTGGGACCCTGATCTGATATGGTTAGTGTCTTTATAAGAGACACAAGGGTAAAAAAGGCACATTGTATTTGTGTCAACAAAACCATACAGCATCAAAAAGAGGGGACACCAGAGAACTCACTCACTCTCCATGCATATGGACCAAGAGGTCACATGAGCACACAGAGTGAAGATGGCCATCAACGGGCTAGGAAGAGGCCCTTCCTAAACTCCCAGCCAGCCTCCATGACTATGAACAATAAATGTCTACTGGTTAAGCCCCAGCTTGTAGTGTTGTGTTATGACAGCTGAGCCCACTAACACTTGTTTAATTCCTATTGATATTTTAGCAACCTGTTCTGTTCTTTTCTCCGTGATTGCCTGGGAATTACACTGTACACCCTATCATAATCTACTTTAAGTGAATACTGACTCAACTCTGGTGAAATTCACTGCTCCCTTACAATTCTTCCCCTGCTTCATGATAACCTATTTATGTATAACTACATATGCTATATATAACACATACAGCATTCATAACATTACAAACCCAATGACACAGTATTCTCCTAATTAATTCTTTTAAACAACATCACATTTCTTAAAGATCGTAAGGGAAAACAAAGTCACATAACACATCCTTTACTTGTATTGCATTTTTACCATTTCCAGGGTTCCTCCTTCCTTCCCATGGATTCAAGTTACTGTTGGCTCTTACTTCCATTTCAGCCTGAATCACCATTTTGTTGTAGGGCAGGTCAGCTGGCAGTGGATTGTCAGTCTTTGTCCACCTCTGAATGTCTTCATTTTGTCTGCATCTTGAAGGGTTACTTTGCTGGACATAGAGTTCCTGCCCCACCATTTCTAGCCCTGTGGAGGCTTCCAACTGCCTCACACTCCTTCATTTCTGGTGAGGAGTCAGCCATAAGTCGTGCCATTTTTCTGTCTGTGAGGAGTTGCTTTTCTTCTGCAGATTTTCTCTTTGTGCAGGGAGCCCTCCAACCTTATCTATCTTATTCAAGACTGTCTTATCTCTCGTGCAGAGGTGTTGTGCTGAGAGCCCGCTCCACACCCTCAGCTCTCGGCTATCCCCACCTCACTCCACGGGCACTCACTCCACATGTGAGTGCTGTCCACCATGAGGGTCACATGGCACAGCCTCTCCCTGGCGCTCACCTCCAGCCCCAGCTCAACTCTGGGCTGGGCTGCAGCATCCTGCTGACTCACCAGGGCCCCATGGGAGCACACGAACATGCTGTGTGCCACGGGTGGGCTTTCTGCGCTGCTGATCCACACCTCTGTCCGGGTTCATCCTCGCTTTCATGAGGTCTGCTGGTCTCAGCTCCTGGGCAGCTTGGACCTCTTCTTGACAAGCACATTGGAATGCGTGAGGGAGCTGTGCAGGGGTGCAGGTGCCCTTTCCCCGGAGCACAGGCCCTCCTTTCACCACGGCCCGGGGCTCCTCTCGATCCCCAACCCTAACCCCACTGCCTGCTTTTGCTGCATGTTTCCCCCTACAGGAATGCCCCTGTCTGTCTGACATCACGGAGGGATGAGTCTTTCCATGCTCTGGTTAATGAAATGTGCCCTCTCTAAATAGCAAGGTTTTTCATTTTTCAATGGAAATCTTTCTAAAGTGCATTGCTTCCCTGAATGGGCATTATAGACCTTGACATGCTGGCATCCCATTGGTGGTACCAATGGGATGGTATTGGTCAGACCACCTGTTCTTAGCTGGGCTGATGCAGGGGGACACCTCAGCACCTGAACGCCTGGTCCTGCCATGCTTCTGAGTCCCCACGTGGCCTGGGACGGTTTTCTGTTCCTCAGACCCCACCGTGTCACGTGGTCCTCCTGGGCTGTGTGTGGGGCGCCCATCGTGCTGGATTCAGGCCCTCATGGCCCCTGTGAGTTGACCTCTGGGGGTGCCTGCTTCCTCATCTCTGCTGACAACCGTTCTCTCCACAAATTACCAAAAAGAGTAAATAAGACACCCTTTCAACCGACTGTGATGTTGGGCAGGTAACCCACCATCACTGTTGTGGCTCCAACCCGTGTTAGAATGTACTGGCATTTATTGCATCGGACATGTGGCTGGCAGACCAGGAGGGGCTGCCAGGCAAGAGGAAGTTTCATTCCCGGTTTCCTAGATGCGGGAGGCAGGCGCGCCCCATGGAGCCCCATGTGGGATCCCTGGGTCAGGGGTGCAGGCATGGTCTTCACTGGAAGGAGTAGCAGGCATTGGGCCTGACCAGGTGTGGGATTGATTAGTTGGGGTCATATGAGCAGTTTGTGGGGCAGGGGTAGCAGCTGCCCCGTGTGTTATGCTGGCCTCGGGCGATTAGGGTGGAAAGTAAAAGCAGGGGGATGATGCAGAGCACAGGCTATGGGTGGTCATGTCAAAGGCAGGCTTTCAGACACATCATTACTCTGAGAGCCAGCTAGCCCCGGGAGGGGTCATCTCTCCGGGAAAAGCAAGGCCTCACAGTGTCAAGCTATCACAACATACAGAAAATAAAACACGTGAGACAGGTTTTCTCCCTGACTCTCAGTGATTCTGCAGAGCTTCTGAGGGTCATCTGCTGATTCAGGGCTGCTGGGAGCCACCAGGAAGCCATGTCCTCCCACAGTCCCACAGCCCAGTGGCACAGAGATGACCCGCATTGGCCACTTGGTTCTGTGCAGCCCTAGGAAGGACACTGCCTCTCTCTGACCCAGGTTCTCTGATCACGAAAGGACACATGGACACCCTAAATGCTGCCCTCTTTCCCTGCCATTCTTCTGTTAAAATTCTCCAAAATTTGGACACAAAGAGTTCGGGTGTTAAATAAGAGTAGTCTTCACATTTGCTCTCTGCTATGACTAACACATGCCAGGGGCTGTTTACGTCTTTAAAGGAAGCTTCTTATTAGCGGGGAGGATGTCAGCAGAAATTCGGGAGTGTAAATATCTCACAGTGTGGGTGGGGACGAGCTAGTCCTGGCACTGAGGCGCTCCTCAGAGCTGGAAGCTTCTAGAGGTGCTTTTCCTCGCAGTGGTTCTCAGAGTAACAGGAGCCAAGACAGAGTGTAGGGCAGAGCGCAGGTTTGCACATGCTGACAGAGTGCCCTCCTGCACCAAGCCTGCAGCCCAGAGCGCGGTGTCAGGTGGAGGCTTTGGGGGCTGAGTGGCCCCACCCTGGTTTCTGTGGCCTCAGTGTCCCCTGGGCAGCTGTGGAGCATGGGGACAAAGCCCCGGACGCTCCCATGCTGGGGACACCCTGCCCCTTCCAGAAGGGCATGGAGAGCAGGACGTTGGGGATGTGCTGGGAGACAACCGAGTGCTATGTGTCTGCCTTCCCGGAGCCTCATGCTTTCACCTTTTAACCCCATCCTCTACAGGCAGCATCTCCCACCACGGCCCTCAGCTCCTCGGCCTGACGCCCGGTCACAGCAGCGTGTCACAGGCTCTCAGGTAATGTCTTGCTGCTCCACAGACGCCCAGGCGGGAGGGACGGGACTGCCCGCTCCCCACAGATAATGCCACGAACCTTTAGCGGGTTGCCTTTTCAACCCATTTGTCCATGTTCTGAGTAAGATTAGACCACATCACGTTTTGCTTTTTTGAAACTAAAATGTAACTTAGGCAGTTACACTGTTACTAAAAACTCCAAAAGAGCCATTTCATGGCTAGGAGGTATCTTATCCCAGGAATGGACTGGACTAGGGTCGGCAAATATTTCTGTAAAGGGCAGGTAGTGAGTGCTCTCAGCTGTACAGACAAGGACGTAGAGGTAGACAGACAGACACGGCTGTCCCACTAAAACTCTGACTACAGCAGGCAGAACTGGACTTGGCTGCCGTGTGCCAACCTGATGGGACCACCACTCCCTTAACTCTTCATTTTTGACCCTGAGGGTCCCCATTCTCTGCTGCCTTTTGGAACCCCCACAGGGGTCTCTATCCAGGCTCTCTGTCTCATCCGTCCAGGGCAGGTGGTCCCTGAAGGCAGGGGATCCCTGCCCCCCCCCACCTAAGCTCTTTAACGGCAGGCACACATTTTGTCCTCTGCGATAGCCCAGCTACGGTGCCGCGCATCTTCCCCAGCCCATGCGGAGCTGCATCTGTGTGTGCCCTCCACCCCGATTCCAGAGGCTCTCAGACCCCCACCCCCCGCTGGGGGCACTGGCACAGAGGAGGGGCTGGCTGTGGGCATAAACCTGCTCCCAACGTAGATCTGTTGAATTGACTCCTAGGATCCCGTGGCTGCCTGTCCCCTGCAGGGTGCTGTCCCAGCCAGCAGCACCCCCGGTCCCCAGCCAAGCGGCAAGAGGGGGCTCGCCCAGCCTCGGGGGCTCCCAGACGCTGGCCCCCAGGCCGCCCATCAGCATCTCTGCTCTGCTGCAGAGGCAGCGAGTAGGCAAGTGCGCCCTGCGTTGAAAAGGAGACGTGTGTGGAGGGTGTCTACGTACATGTGGGAGGAGTGGACCTGACAGTTGCCTGTCCCTGAGAACTGCGCTTCTGCACTTTGGTGAGAGGGGCTCACACGTGTGTGCTCCTCGGCTCTTGGCTCCCATGCTCCGCAGGGTCTGCTGGCCTTGGGGCGGCCACACGCAAAAAGGGAACGAGGTCCTGCATCGGGCCGTCAGCCTGGGGCTCTTGAGTTACCAGTGGAATGTGACTCAGTGAAACATGCGTCCATACTTGATGGAATAACGTCATACAGTTGAATAAAGTGCTTTTCTGATTGTCCAGAAATGTGACGTGTTTGAAGCTTGGCTCTTATTATTACCTTCAAAGTTCCTGAAAACATCAGTGTTGAAGCAGAGCATGATCCCCATGCTGGCTTACTGCAGGAAGGCTTGGGGGCTAGGCAGAGCCCGACCTTCTGCACACGGGCCCCCGAGGGGAATGGCCACATGGTCCAGACAGCCTCTGTCACCTGGGTGTCCACGGCTCACAGGTGATGCTGTATTCGGCAATGACTGGTTTCTGGAGATGAGTTTTGGGCCTGCCTCCTGCCAGGTCAGTGAGATGCTCGTTCTCAGCTGAGGAGGGCAACTAGTCAAGACCGCACGGGGCGGGAAAGAGGCTTCTAGGGCTAATCATGATCCCTTATATGTCAAGAACCTAAGACTTGTCCAAGAGCTTGGTCTGTGTTCCTTCTCGAGGGTTGGGCTCACAGGGCGGGCAGGCGTAGAACAAGGCAGAGAGGAGAGGACCCCCTTCTACACCTGGAGATCGTGAGGCATGGGCAGGTGCCTTGTCAGGTGACACCCTGGCCAGGCCACACCACACAGCAGTCTTCCGGAGGGCTTAAGGCCCCTGGTGGCTTCCACATCTGGCTGGCAGATGCAGTCCCTACATCGCACGGCAGGGGAGCTTCCAGAAAAGTTCCGGTGTTCTAGAACCCCCAGTCTTGGCGCGTATCCTTCTCTGCGAATGTTCTATAACGTGTGCATGGTGGTTTCCAGCGTGAGACGATGGCCGGTCACAAGGCGCTGGTCGTCTCCCAGCTCCCACTCCCCGGGGTTCTGCTCTGCATGCTGCATGGCACCAGTCTGCCAGGGTCCAAGCCTGGGCCACTGTTGGGAAGGCCAGGGAGGTCTGACTGCCCTGGTCCTGCCGGGAGCCTGGCTTGAAGATGGCCCAGAGCTCCCTACCGCAGGGCCGCTGGGGCCACATGTTGCCTGCCCACCTGCCAGGCCCGCACGCTCCTGGCACAGCTCCCCGCATGACCCAGAGCCAGAGCTGCACTTTGGGTTTAGCTGCCCACATCTTTGGGGCTGTCACTCTCCACGATGAGTTTCCTTGTGGCTGGGGAGGCGCTGCCGATGTGTCTGCTGGGGCCGATGCTGTGATGTCCCAGGCTGTTTACCAGCCTCTCAGCACATCTGCTGCTCCAGTGTGATCTGTGTGGGACGTCCAGGCAGCAGCGCTCCAGACAGACGATAGCCCTGGCCCACAGCGCCAGGTGTGAGCTCGGAGCCCTCACCAAGCCGTCTGCTCTCTGCCCGGGATGGGCGAGGCCCAGCGGATCCTCCGCTCTGAGGCTCGGGCCGGGGCTGCTCCTAGTGGCCCGGCCAAAGAAAGTCACCAAGATGAGCAGGCTGGGCAGCTTAGACCCCAAGGCTCGCTTTGCCCCCGCGAGGTCGCCAGTGGCTACGCAGGTCCGCTTGGACTTGGGAGATGTCAACCAGATTGTGCTGCAGGGCGGGGGTGGGGGGCTATCACACAGCCCCCCAGGGAGGCCGTCGGGCACCAGTGGTTGTAACATGCCCAGAAAGCAGCACATCTGAAAGTGCCAGCTGGGCCTCAGGCCCTTCTCTAGACCAAGTTCTCGTCTTTACAGGCAGACCAAATATCCTCCGTGGTGGCCCGGGCCGCAGGCCACAGCTTCGGTGGCCCCGGCCACAGGCCCCACCTTTACAACCGATTGCATTCAAACGGCCTCGTACTCCTCACCCGCCTGGCAGGCTTGCTGCCCTTCGGGCTGAGTAAGTACTTGACAGCTTATCTGCTACCGTGGTTTTATTCTGTTGCTTCTCTGGTCTTAATTACATGACACTTATTCAAGCCCCAACACTGGGAAGGGTGCATGTTTCCTCAGGCCAGCTAGCAGGTGCCTGGAAATGACCCTGCCCCGTCCCCACCCCTACCCTACTCTCCCCAACCACCCAGCCCCCAGTCCCCACCCTGCTCTCCCCAACCATCCAGCCCCCAGTCCCTACCCTGCTCTCCCCTACCACCCACACCCCCACCCCCACCCTACTCTCCCCCACCACCCAGCCCACGGGCTCCCTCTGTCCTTGCCCTGGTATAGCACCCTCCAGACTGTGTCTCATCTTTCAGACGCCCTGCCTGTCGGACCATTTGTTTTGGTTTTAGTAGAGCTGGGCTCACACCATCAGCTTCTGAAGCCTGCCACGCGAGCACTTTGGGGGTGAGCACGCCCACCCCTGTGGGAGCAGAGCCTCGGGGGAGCGCTCCGATAGGGTGCTGAGGCCATGAGGCTAGGAAAGGGCAGGCAGGAGGCCCAGCAGCGCAGGGGCCTTGGCCCAGAACACCAGGGAGTTGGGAGTTGGGAGTCATGAGAGTCCTAAGCCCCTCACCCAGAAAAGCCTGGCAGGTAACCCGGAGGCAGAGGCAGATCAGAGAGCAGGGGCAGCGGTGGCGGGGTGAGGCCAGTGGGACTGCCTGGCGGTCTGGTGGGCTCTCAGAGGCAAGCAGCTAGCTCCAGCTGTGGGCTCTGCTCTGAGCTGAAGAGCCGTGCTCACTCCAGAGAAGGGAAGAGGCTGGTGCTCTGGGGCCTCCGGGAAACGCCCCCCTCCCTCCCCCGACTGTGGGCGCACCTCTAGAAGAGGCAGTTTCCCCGAACCCCTGGTGTGTTGGGACCGCTTTCAGTCGAATTCTCTTTAAAATCACAGCACAGATTTCTGTGCTTATGAAGTCAAATCTGCCCAGAAAGATACCTTTGAAGAGGACCAGCCTCTCAGGTCCCACCAATTCCCCACTCCCCGGGACCGAGCAAGTCTTTCGGTTCCATTCTTGATATAAACCTGGCTGGATTGCAGTCCCTCTTTTCCTTAGATAAAAACATTTACTCCTGTGGGTTCTCAGGTCCTGCATCAGGGACCAGTCCCCACAAGCTCGCAGACATTGCAGCCCCTTGCACCCAGGATGACTCTGCACCAGTGCCCACGCCCCCTCCCCTGCTAGGCTCAGCAGCTCAGCAGTGCCCTGACACTTCTCGGGAGGGGCCAGCACCCTGCCTAAGCCTCTGGGCTTCCAAGGATACCTAGGTCTTTCTCCTCTGGGCGTCTCCTGTCTCGAAGACAAAGCAGAGACCATCTGTCAAAATTTTGTTTTTAGCCATAAAATTTCCCTGGATGAAGGATCGGATTGGATATTAACTTACAGTTGCTGGATGTGTTTTCCTGAAGTGAAAGAAAGGGTGTCCAACCAGCACTACTTCCCAACTCTAACCACTGGGAACCGGGGACTGGGCCCCCCTATGACCTCCCACTCTCCAGCAGCCAGACTTTTACCAGAAGAAGAAGCAGAAAGCCCCTGGGACCAACAGGAAGAGAGAGGAGGCCCCAAGCTCAGGAAGGGCTTAGCACAGAGGAAGCAGGTCTGGGTTATGCCACCTCCCAGGCCCCATGCCCTGTCCCAGACACCCCGCAGAGTGGGAGTCAGCCATGCAGGTCATCAAACCAGACCCTCAGGAGCGCAGAGTCTTTCACACCCACACAGTTGTGACATGGAGGGAGGTTTGGAAGGCGTTTTCTTTTCAGAGGGGAGGAAATTCCTAGAATTCTTAGGTGGTAAATCCAAGTCTGCACCAATTTTGTGTTCCACTTAAGGGAACCATGGACTGGGGACTTGCATGGTGGTAAGGCGGCAGGTGTCCCTGACTCCCTATGTACACCCCGTCTCCAGACCCGCAGATTCTGGAGGACTTCCAGCTGGAATGTGGAGGCCCCAAGTGGGATGGCTGCCCCTGCAGACATCTGCACAGCCAGGGACGCTGTGTCTCAGGAATCACGGGTCACCCTGGGAGAGGGATGGGGCTCTCCCACAAGACAGGTGCTCGGAGGCCAGGATGCCGGGCTTTTCCCCCTGGGGGTGTCCCTAGACTCTCCACGCCGAGCCGAGCCCTTCTCCTCAACTCTCACACATACAGCAGAGTCACACGGCGCCCTTCCTTGCCATCACTCTGTGAGCCGCACATGCAAACACCATATGCTCTCACTCCACGTTCTCGAGCCACAACCATGGGCGTGCTTCTCAAGGGGAATGATTCTCCTCCAGCCTCGTCAGATGCTTCCTTGTGGCCAAAGCAGGTGTTCTAGATGGTGACCTGCACCCGTGTCCTCCCAGGGCGCTGCAGGCCACACACACGAGCCACGAGCCCAGCAGCCCTCACTGACAACATGTGTTTACAAACGTGTGTGCGGGTGTGGGAGGACGGCTACATGAGTGTCCCCTTTTCTCAGTGGGTTTCCAGGTATGTAGCTGAGATGCAGGAAGGTTCTCTCCGGGGGACATCCTGGCCCCTTGTGCAGACCCTGGCTTTAGGAGAGCCAGAGTGAGCAACTCCTGTGCAGACAACACCCCTGCAAGGGTTGCAGAACCCCGTTGTCCTCCTGGGCCCCTGGGAGCCCCAGTTGAGGATACTCTGATCTCCATGGCACAGGTTTTTTGCTTCTGTTTTTGTTTTTCTTTTAAGATTTATTTATTTAAGAGAACAAGCGAGCGTGTGCAAGTGGTGGGGGGGTGGCAGAGGGAGAGACAGAATCTCAAGCAGATTCCCCACAGAGCACAGAGCCTGACATGGGGCTTGATCTCAGATCCAAGATCATGACCTGAGGTAAAACCAAGGGTCAGATGTTTCACTGACTGAGCCCCCCAGGTGCCCTAAGACTTTTCCAACGTGTCCCAGAGTGATCAGAAATCTGGGTGAAGCTGCCTCCGTCTTTCACAGAGAACCTTGGGGAGAGGGCTGCAGGGCCCACGTACCTCTGGGGGCCCCTGCTCTGCCCGCTGGGCTCGTGGACATGTGGCTGGCCGCACTCACAGCCTGGGAGTTGGATGGGCACGGAGGCAGGGTCTGGATGCACCCTGCTGCC